TTTCTCATCATTTTATCTCAGTCTGTGAATGTGGTGCTTAATCAAACTCTGCTTTCTTCTCATGATCTTACAGAAAGTTCATTGAATTTGTCAATGTTAACTCTTCAACCCTCTGAAGTGATTAACATGTAACTCACATTACCCAGCAGATAGGTATGAGAAAACTCAACCTCATCAGTCAGGAGTTGTTATCTTGATTTTGACAATTTTAACATCAAATTATTGACTCTAATTTACAAGAAAATGAGGAGTAACTTATTTCTGGCAACTCCTAGGAGTGAGGGGGGTTTCACGAGCACCAAAATTAGTCCTTGTTATGCAAAAAGACAATTGTTTGTAATTGTCTTTGGAATTTTTAAACCACCTGATACAGGCTTTTCTAGATTTCATATTAACTTTCTGCTTTTTCCTTCTAACCAATAGATATATGGTAACTGCTCTGATGGGAGCTGATCTGAACAGCATTCTGAAGTGTCAGAAACTCACCGATGAACATGTTCAGTTTCTTGTTTATCAGATACTGAGAGGGCTTAAGGTAGGGACAACTAAGAGCTAAACATAATTTCTTCTTTAGCAATCTCCATGATTTGATGTGCGATTAATTCGCTTGAAGAAAGACATCCATTTTGAATTGTCGCACCCCATTTGGTATATGATTAGATCAAGCAAAAACAAAATAATTTTTGCTAAATAGCGCATTTCATAACCTTTCCATTGATGTATATAATTTATGGTGGTTAAGCTTCTAATGGCAAGCATCACCTATACTCATTCATACCAAATCAACCTCAAGAAGACTTGCAGTATGCAGTCAAAATGTTGCAATCCACATCCAAAGTGACTTCATTGTGAGACAATGATTACATTTCTCTTTTGAAAGTGTTATTTACCATGGTGACTAACTTAAACTTATTTGATGATGTAAAGCATGGCTTGTTTTGTGAAAAAAAAAATGCCATTTGTGGAGGGTGTGGGGCATGCTCTCACCTGTTGCCACAGAACTTGAATGAATTCTTACTGAAAGCATGTTGAGAAATCTGATGAGGTGTCATTAATGGTTCTAATTTTCTTTTCAGTATGTCCATTCAGCAGGAGTCATTCACAGGGTAGGTTTTTTTTTTTAGATAACTTAATTAGTATATTAGCCAGTTAAATGTCAAACCAAGCTGTATTGCACAATGAGAGAGAGGACTTCAAATTAGTCCATTGTGTGTATGTTTCTTTACTCACAAATTTTTTATTGGATTTGTAGGATCTGAAGCCCAGTAATATAGCTGTTAACGAGGATTGTGAACTCAGGGTAAAACCACTTTAAGGTGTTTTTGTTTAATTTAATGTATAGTGTATTTTTCATTGCAAATCATAAAGGATGTCTTTTTTAAAGGAACTATGTTGTGGCATCAGTGGGAGGTATCACAAGATACATGTAGTTTATTTTTATCATCTGATTTGATAAGAAATATTCATTTCTATGCAAATGGAAAGCTAAATTATCACTTCTCAAGGGTACAAACACTAAAAGAAAAAAAAAAGATAAATTGGTTCTATCACCTGAGTTGAGAATGCAGATTGGCCTCTGCAGAGTCTCTAGAGCTAACTTTTCAAGCATTAGTCTTTGACATTCACTCTGATAAAAGGATAATGCTCAAAATATCAGCTATAGAAACTCTTTGCTGTGGCCAATTTGCATCA